ACACCACTCATCATACACCACTTATCATACACCACTCATCATACACCGCTCATCATGCACCACTCATCATACACCACTCATCATACACCACTCATCACACACCACTCATCATACACCACTGGTGAGATGACTCAGATTTCGTGGCAGGCGCAGCACTTTGTGAACCTCCATGGCAAGATTTCGTGGCAGGTGCAGCACATTGTGAACCTGCAGGTGCAGATTTCGTTGCAGGCGCAGCACTTTGTGGAGCTCCATGTGCAGATTTCGTGGCAGGTGCAGCACTTTGTGAACCTCCATGTCCAGATTTCGTGGCAGGTGCAGCACTTTGTGAACCTCCAGGTGCAGATTTCGTGGCAGGCGCAATACAAAATGCGTTTTGGAGAGATAGCGGACGCACGAAATGCGGTATTTTTCAATAGAACCGGCGGCTTCAAACCTGGCAAGTCTAGCTCTGCGGAACGACGGGTGCGAGACGGTCTCGGGTCATTCTCGGATCATGCTCGGATCATGGTCGGGCATGGTCGGAATCGTCCCTCCATTGGTATTAGAGTTTTCGCTTGTTTCTTGAAGTCCAGATTTCGTGGCAGGCATAGCACTTTGTGAACCTCCATGTCCAGATTTCGTGGCAGGTGCAGCACTTTGTGAACATCCATGTGCAGATTTTGTGGCAGGCGCAACACTTTGTGAACGTCGAGGTGCAGATTTCGCGACTTCGAGGCGCAGATTTCGTGGCAGGCACAGCAATTTGTTGGCAGGCACAGAACTTTGCGAACCTCCATGTGCAGATTTCGTGGCAGGCGCAGCACTTTGTGAACCTCCATGTGCAGATTTCGTGACAGGTGCAGCACTTTGTGAACCTCCTTGTACAGATTTCGTGGCAGGCGCAGCGCTTTGTGAACCTCCATGTGGAGGTTTCGTGGCAGGCGCTGCTGGGAACTGGCGACTTTCTAGCACAACTTTACTACGCGGAGCAATCTGTAGAGCTGGAAGCTGAGAACTGGCGACTTTCTAGTACAACTTTAGTACGCGGAGCAATCTGTAGAGCTGGAAGCTGAG